ATAAAATTCAATTAATATCTTTAAAGTAAATTTGTTGTAGTTTTTTTTTTTTTTTGAGACAGAGCCTCAAGCTGTAGCCCTGGGTAGAGTGCCATAGCATCACAGTTCACAGCAATCTCCAACTCCTGGGCTCAAGCGCCTTCTCTTGCCTCAGCCTCCCAAGTTGCTGGGACTACAGGCGTCTGCCACAACACGCGGCTATTATTTAGTTGTAGTTGTCATTGTTGTTTGGCAGGCCTGTAGTCCCAGCTACTCGTGAGGCTGAGGCAAAAGAATCATTTAAGCCCCAGAGTTTGAGGTTGTTGTGAGCTGTGATGCTACAGCACTCTACTGAGGGAGACAAAGTGAGACTTTGCCTCAAATAAATAAATAAATAAATAGCTAAATGAAATATTGGACGGCTGGAGTGGTGGTGGGCACTTGTCCCAGCTACTGAGGAGGTGAGACGGAAGGAGTGCTGCAGACCAAGAGTTTAAGGTTGTGTAGTGCATAATCAGCCAATCTGCGAAGAGCCAGTGCATTCAAGCCTGGGTAACAACCCTGTTTCTAAAATAAATAAGTAATTAAACAAACAAGCAAACATTTCAAAAAACAGAAAGTGAAGTATTGTATGAAGAAATGTTGTAAAATGATATCAAATGCGAGGTAATGTCATTATGAACGCTATTATTATTACCAACATGAGATAGAATAGCAGCAATAAATTACGATATTAATACTAGTATAAGAATCATAAACCAAACAAATCTATAAAGGAGTTACACAGGTATCCTAATGTTTGGATAAATTATTATTAGTGTATATTACTAATACACGTAGTGCTAGTGTATTAAGATAAAAAACCTGGACTTGCGAGAATTACAAATCCCATTATCCCAAGCGCCTTCACGAGGTGACGGGAAAAAAGCCATTAGACCCGGATGTAAACAAAAACTACGTTTCCCAGAGTCCCTCACGCCCATCTCCCTCCTATATATAGTCCATCCGGGTTCTTCGAGATGCTGTTTGGCGACTCGTCGCCATTCCCGGTGCAGCTCGGCCTCGGCTCAGAGGCGAGTGTCGGTCGCTGTGTCGGAGACACCTGTCCCCGACACCAAGACAACCAGCCCTCTCCCTTGCCCCGCGGCGGGAGAGCGTGTCCGGCCGGCCGGCGGGGCTCGCGCACCCTCCCTCGCCTCCCCTTTCCCCGCAGCCTCCGCCCCGCCAGGCCCGGCCCGGACTCCGAGCTCCGGCCTCCTCCTCCTTCTCGTGTCACCGCTGCCACCGGGCTCAACAGCCCCGCCTGTCGCTTCTCTTCCCAATTTGAGAAGCCAAGGAAGGAAACAAGGAAAAATGTCGCCATGAAGGCCGAGAACCGCTGCCGCCGCCGACCCCCGCCGGCCCCGAACGCCATGAGCCTGGGTCCCCGCCGCGCCCGCTCCGCTCCGACCGCCGTCGCCGCCGAGGCCCCCGTTGATGCCGCAGAGCTCCCCCAACGCTGCCGCCACCGCCTCCGACATGGACAAGAACAGCGGCACCAGCAGCTCCTCCGCCTCTTCCGGCAGCAGCAAAGGGCAACAGCCGCCCCGCTCCGCCTCGGCGGGGCCTGCCGGCGAGTCTAAACCTAAGAGCGGTAAGGGCGGGTCCACGGTAGTGGGCTGGGGGCCACTGCCCTTTCGGCTAGGGAGAGTCCTTGCTCTCTAGTCTGCTGGGTTACTCAAGGACAAGCTACGCTTTTCTACTGTAGTTCCTACCTCTGCTTTTCCATGGCTCCCATTATTTACAATTAAGTTAGTGAGCACTGTAATGCATGTTTTGCGCGGATTGTTTACATTAATATTCAGAACATCTGAGAAGTACGCACTATGCGTTTCCCTATTTTGCAGGTGAGGAAAGTGTGGTTCAGAAAGGGTAAAATCACCCAACTCGTATGTGCCTCACAGCAGACCTTAAGACCTCATTTGTCTGACTCAACAGTCACTGCTCCTAAAACCACTAAGTTTTACCCTTGAATGTTGAATTAGCATTGGATAATGTTCAAGTATAAACAGAGGGGGTGTGGCCCCCAAACTTTTCACATTCAAATCTGACTTAATAACCTGACCTCGGATCCATTCCATTGTTGAAGAGGATTCATCCTTGAATGACTTTGTTCAGTGTGATATAGTGGTTAAGAGCTCAGACAATGGATTAAGTCTTTTTGGGCCCCACAGTTTATCAAGCTTTGAGTGTCCCAAGTTTCCTTACCTGTAAAGATATCCCAGGCTCACATCTGTAATCCTAGCACTCTGGAAGGCTGGAGCGGAAGGATTGCCTGAGGTCAGGAGTTGGAGACCAGCCTGAGCAAGAGCAAGACCAGGTCTGAACAAAAAATAGAAAAATTAGCCAGCCGTGGCAGCGCAGGCCTGTGTGTGTTCTCAGCTACTCAGGAGGCTGAGCCAGGAAGATCGCTTGAGTCCTGGAGTTTGATGTTTCTGTGAGCTACGTTTAGAGCACTGCACTCTAGCCAGAACACGAGCAAGACTACTTCTTTAATAAATAAATAAAACACCCCAGAGGAACTAAGTACCTGACACCTATTATGTACCAAAACCACATAGTGTCTATTTTTGTGTTAGGCTAAGTAGTGTTCTTTAACAGGGAAGGTTTTGTCATTTTTGTGATCATGCCTCTTAGTATCAAATTATAAACATAATGGTACCATTAGTTAAGGACTCACCATGCACCAAGTACTGGATGAAGCTTTTACTTCTGTTACTGCTACTTCAGTCCCTAACCTGCCTAGCGAAGTTGAGTTGTTCACGTCTAAAGAAGGAACAAGTTGATGAGGTGGGAAGGTAGGCATTGCTGGAGTCTGGAGTTCTTAAGCCTTTGTGTGAATCTCAGCTCTTTTTGTCTTTGATTTATACTAGGAGTCATAGAAAGGTGTTTTCAGTGAAAGTAGGGGTGTGTGGCAGAGAGGGAAATATTTGGAGTCTCTAAATAAGGAGATCCAGTTGTTTAAAACTTTTCAAGATTAAAAAACTGCGAGATGGGCAGTGACTATTGCTCAGTGGGTAGGGCGCCGACCTGTATATACCGAGGGTGGCAGGTTCACACTGGCCCTGGCCAAACTGCAACAAAAAAATAGTTGGGTGTTGTGGTGGGTGCCTGTAGTCCCAGCTACTCGGGAGGCTGAGGCAGGAGAATCGCCTAAGTCCTGGAGTTAGAGGTGCTGTGAGCTGTGTGACGTCAGGGTGCCCCAGGGCACTACCGAGGGTGATAAAGACAGACAGACAAAAAAACCCTGTAAGACAAGCCAGGTGTGGTGGCTCAATTCTGTAATCCTAGCATTCTGGGAGTTTGAGGTTGCTATGAGCTATAATGCCATGGCACTCTACCCAGGATGATAAAGTGAGACTCTATTTAAGGAAAAAACTTACAAGGAGGAAATAAAAAAACCTGTAAGACTGACTTAAAGCAAACAAAAACAATTGTAAGGCTTACTGCCTTGTTCAGAGTTTATTTGCCGGATATAGCAAACTTGTTTACGTGGTATGTTGAGGACTTTTAGAGATTACTTCTGGAACTCAGCTGACAGTCAGTTGTGTGGGCTCTCTGGGCTGTCAGGAAGTAGTATGTATAGATGAATTTGGGGATTTTGTATACATACAACTTTATCATAGATCTCTTTAAAGATAGAATCCTATTGGCCAGTGTTGGAACTAGTTTAGAGTGGTCTGAATATTTCTCACAGAAGTTGATAAGTAAGTTTACTTTTGCACTCTGTTCTTCCCAGACCTAAAGGATTTGGTTCTCCAACTAATTGAAGTTATCCAAGTTTTCTTGGACTCCTCTTTATGTTGCTACTATAGACTCCTGAGTTAGTTCAGTAGATTTTTTTTTTTTGGAGACACAGCCTCAAGCTATTGCCCTGGGTAGAGTGTGGTGTCACAGCTCACAGCAATCTCAAACTCCTGGACTTGAGCCATTCTCTTTCTCAAACTCCTGAGTAGCTGGGACTACACAGTGCCCGGCTATTTTTTTGTTGTAGTTGTCATTATTTGGAAGGCCTGAGTTGGATTTGTGCCTACCAGCTCTGGTGTATGTAGCTGGCGCCTTAGCTGCTTGAGCTACAGGTGCTACCCAGCAATAGATGTCTTAATATGTTTATTTCTTAGTGAGCTGTAGGTAAAAGCTTGTGACAACCCAAACTCCTATGTTCTTGACTTTGAATATGTTGATTAGTGGAACTGATTACCTAACTGGATGATACAGAATTCTGCTGTAGTGTGACCAAAGCAAATATTTGCCATGGTTAACATTCCAAAGAGACTTACGTAGAATAAATTTTAATTATTGGGTTCGTTTTGATTAGTTAAAAAGTAATTTTTTTAATACCATTGACTTGTACTATAAAATACACTTAAAACTTGTTTACCTTCTTAATTAAAAATGTGTGAGGAAGGAAATAAAAACTTATGTAAAAGACCTCTTGTCAGGTTTTTTTTTTTTTTTTTTTGAGACAGGGCCTCAAGCTATCCCCC